GTCCTCATTCGATAAATGGTATCACGAATTTCAAATTTCTTTCCATTTGGAATATCTTTCGTTTTCAATGATGGGCGAGTTTTGCGGTGATCTTCTTTCGGCAGTTCACTATTGTGATTTTGTAATACTCCTCTTAATTTGGTTTCACTAATTTTTAGAGCATCGTATACGCGTTGTACAGACATTACCGATTTTAAAGGACCGCCATTTTCTTTTTCATCCGTAAAATACTTATGTAGACTACAAATTAGACTATCTACATCTAACACACGTCTAGGCATTTTTAAAATTTCCACTAAATTTACAATATACCTACAATGTCAACACTTGCAAAGAATTAATTCAACTGCAATATTTGTAACAAATTTAGTACCTACCCTAATGTTATTTTAATTTAATTCTGGCCATTAGGGCAATTTTACCTAATTTCTTGGGAAGAGGCTTATTGAAACTGGTTGTCAATGACTAATTTGCATAATTTTGTTAATCCGAAACCCGCGTAAGTATAGCGAACAGACAGACAAAGGTCATATCATTCCACGTAGGTAATTCATTAATATTAGAAAAGCCTTCAATTTGTTAATATTAGATTTTCAAAGTATAAATTAAAAAAGTTAATTGGTCATGTGGCTTCAGAATAGTAGGAGATAAAATATTAATAATTTCAGTAACATTCCTTATATATTTTTCTAAGTATGTTTAAGAATCTTAGTGTTCCAGGTGATCTTGGAATTTTTTCTCTAAAGACAAGGTTTAAATAAATCTTTTTTTTTTCGTCAAGAAGCTCCAGTAGTAAAATTCCTTAGTTCGGAGTAGCTCTTCCAATTTACAGTCGTCTTATCTATCTTATATTTTTTTAAATCTTTGTCTCTTAACGAAATCATTAAATTTATGTTATAATAATAATCGTAAGTGATAAATAAAAATTCTTTAATAAATATAATCTTTACCATAGAAGATAGTAATCAATGACTGTAGTTTCAAAAAAAGAATTTAAAAAAATACTTTTTCGCCTCATTTTTTTTTTGTCACCCGATACTGATAACAAAAACATCTTTTAAAGCCGATCTGTGACTATTAGGGCGTAAGATTACATCAAAAAGGCATTAATTATCACGAGACGGGTTTTTTTAAATCTTGTAGACAACCCTTAAATTAGTATTTATACCTCAGACGTGCTCGTTCTAACGTGTACAAAATTCTTCGATTTAACATTTTGGATGTGGACAGTGGCTTAGGTTCTTAATAAGTTTAAATCAACGTTATTTTATATTATTCTGTATATTCTAAATCTAATCAATATGACTAATTATTAATAAAGGGTAATCCATAAAAAAATGTTTCTAAAGTGGACCATGACCGAAAAAGACAGAGATGTTTGTAATATATCATACATTATTAACTCTAATTTTACAATATAATATTCAGGAAAGGTGTTAGATCAAGAATATTTTTCAAGTGATTATTGCATCCAGGCATATTTAAATTTATTTTTTTGTGTACTCTATTTTATTCATGTGCCCTTTGATTTGTATTGCTACATATTTCGTCAAAATATGAATAGAGGCTTCGTCCTCCTCCTTGCAGAATCTGCATTTACTTTCTTCCAAGTTTATTAAGGTGTCCTTCGACAGTGTCCGGTAAGGATCTCTATTAATATACCTAGAGATCTTTTCAATTACATTTTGGTTTAAAAATCAACCAGTTATGTTTTTATCTGATTTCTTTTCATAATTTTAACTTCAATGCGAATGTTATTGCATGATTTATTCAGTAAATAAAACTTTTTTTGTATTCATTCAGTTTAATTAGCTATTGAGTTTGCTACACCACTGCCATTTAATCCTAAAATGTCCTCTTAACAGGTAGAAGTAAGGGAATGAAGGAAGAAACAGAAGCCGACTTCACAAATTCCACTAACTAATCACTGCTAAGGCATCTGCTTGTCGGTATAGTCAGTCTAACCGTTCCAGATGTGTTCGGTCCTTATCTAATGAATTCTAAATTTAATTAATGGCAATTAATTGAATATATCGGATTATAGTGACCCGATAACTGCAAAAATTATGTCGAAGTGACAAGTGACAAGTGAAAAAAAAACGCAACAGTTCCAATTACAGAATTAATTAAATAGTATCTAATAATAATGTTGCCTTTTGTTACTTTCGTTCATATTTCCCCTCACTTATTAGGTTTTTTCGTTTGCATCGAAAGTGTGCACTAAGCTTCGTCACTTCTGAAAATATCGTTCCATCCATACAATTTGTATAAATGGAACGATATTTTTAGAAGTGGTGTAGCCCAGTGCTACACTTTCTATGTAAAGTAAAAGACCTATCATAGTCAGTTAATCAATTGCGAGTGGGATCAAATATTGTATTCTTTTCTATACATTCATACTTTCTAATTGTAATGTTTATGTACTCCCTCTGTAGCTAAGCGAGAAAACATTTCATTCTCACTTGTATTTTGTCCATTAAATAAAAATTCATGTTCTTTTCTTCTTCTTTTTCTTTGTCCGAAAGTACTGTTTCTACTAGAGCAGCCTTTTGACAAGAGTTTCGGACAGCGGCCTTTACTCAAGTTTCTTTGTTGACTATCGACTCTCTATTTAAAACAAAATTTATGTCATAAAATGTACTTTACAGCCCAATTTTGCATATAAACAATTTTTCAAATTTCGTTGAATCAGAGAAAAAAAGAAAAACGAAAAATTGCATATTTTAATTAGACTATTAATTCGTTCAGGGGAATATAATGACCAACTACATGATGTTACATAATATAACTTCACAAATGCCAATAAGAACATTAATAATAATAACAACTTATTCTAATTTTTTTGTACGCAATTCCTCTAATATAAAAGGGCAAGAGATCATTATAATACATTTATATTATTTTCTAATTACAGGAAAATTATTTAATTTAAAAAAATACCATGTTGTCAGTGAGGACACTTTTTTAAAAAGAATTTTATCTTGCAGGATTTATGATAATCATATGGTCACGGTCCGGCCTAAAAAAGACGTGTCACGCCACAAATTTCAACCAAGAAAAGAGTGAAGCGTTTAATTATGAATGGAATGGTCATGGCGGACCATCTCTGTTGTTTATTATTATTTGGTTGTTTCTAGGAAACGTGTCTCTGAATTTTTTCCAATAAAATTAAAGGAAGATTTAGTAATAAATCAACTTTTTTAATAAATACCTTCTTAGACAATAAAACCATATGTTTAACGGCTATTCATCACATTAGTTGTTTGGATGAATTTCAACTATTAAAGCTTTGTTTATGGAACATTACTTTTCTCTTTATGTGTTTGAAAGTAGGTACAAATTAGAGTTGCTTTGAAATGGAAGAGGCAAATAACAGTTTTTTTTTCTAATATATCTCCAATGCACCTGATAGTACAGGATACGATGTAAGGTCGACCTTCACGCAGCAAAATGGCAACTTGAGTCGTACTTTGATTTATTTGAAGTCAATACTTTTATATTTGAAGACTAGCGGAATGAAAATGTTTTATCATTTATATGAAGCTATTTACAGAAAAATGGCATTTAATCTCACCAAAACTGACTGGCTACACTATCTCGAGTTTGACATTGACGTCATTGTAAAAATGTAATGCAAAAGTGCGGACAATTTAGCTTCGTCATAGAATCTTGACTAATTGACTAATTTAATATAAATATATTATGATAATTTGACTTATGTGCTTATTTCCTCTATTTATACGCAGAAATAATCTTTCAACAGTTTACAACTTAAAGCGTTGAATAATTTAAAGTCACACTGTCAGAATTTTCTTGAGCTAATTGGACGTTCAAATTGTAATATAATTTGTTTGTGAGGCATTGTGAATTTAATTGTAAAAGCCTCAAATTAAAATTATTTACCCTGGTAGTAGATGGAAAGTTTTGAAGCTGCAGCGTAATTCGAGAATTGTCTTTCTGTGCTGAAAAAATATTGCACACATGACTTATTAGGCATTCCAAACAAATGAAACTTGGTGCTAAGGTTTGGTATGTCTAAAGGGTTGCAACATACGATGTAGTTTATCTACACTATGTGAAATCATAAATAATGAATTAAAATTAAATATTTTATGTTGAACAAAATGAAACTATTAAAAAAACTGACTTATACATTTTCTATAAATTGACATGCTTGGCGACTACTATTTCAAATAAAAATAGCGTCCAAGATGGAAAGCTATGTCGCAATCCCTTAAATTTACGAGCCCTTCTCACTGGCAGCTATTGTTTGACATGTCGTTAGAATGCCTAATTAGGCATTCCAAACAAATGAATTACCAGTGGGCAGGTTTGGTATATCTAAGGGTGGCGACATATGGTGTATTCTATCTACTTTACGTAAAATCATGAATGATGGATTACATTTAAATATTTTATGTCAAACACAATAAAAATAATATTTAAAAAACCCACCTATACATTTCTTCATAAATTGGCAGGCTTGGCGAGTACTACTTCGAATAAAAATAGCGTCCAAGTTGCAAGACTATGTCGCTACCCCCTTAAATATACAAGAATTTCCCACTGGCACCTATTGTTTGACAGGTCGTTGGAATGCCTAATTAGGCATTCCAAACTGAATGCCTACCAGTGGGCTTTGACGGGTTATGATATTGCAAAATTATGGCAACCCTGTAGACCTGGTGATTTGACAAGGTCAATGAAATAGATAGTTACATAGATTGATTATCCATATTTTTCAAAATAAACATAAGCGTATGCCTTGAAGTAAAAATGTAAGCAATTATTTTTTTTTTAATATCTAAAGGCTAAAAATGGGTTTTAAAACACATTTTTGCTAAACCGATTCAAATTAATGAATATTTGCCAGGCAATATGGCCGCTCGTAAACGACCAGCTTTGAGCAATCTATATAACTATATATGTATCATTGACCCTGTTAATGACAACAGGCTTGCCATATCTAAACTGTCATTACCCACTGGTAGCCATTTGGACAGGTCGTTGGAATGCCTAATTGGGTCAATTTTATGCACAAATCTTGCTTGCTTGATATTATGAATTTAAAGACACATCTACATAAAAATGTCAGAAGTCATGGATTGAAGTCACAATGTATTAGGTTAAAATGCACAATTTAAATTCGAAGAACCTTCCAAATCTAAGGAATAACATACGTTCAAAATCATTTTACTGTACCAAATCAAAAGAATCTCGACGATCTGTAAAACTTGTTTACTTTAATGGAAACGTATGTAAAACCGAAGAAAATCCTTTTAATGATAAATCGGTACAAACAACAGAAAAAAATTCAAAATCAATAAAACGTTCGAGTATTTGTAATCAAAAGGAAAGATGTCGGTCGGCTAAAGAGCTAAAATTAGAGCGTGGATTTTCCATATGTATGATATCAAATGAGAAAGAAGCTGTTACCGCTAACTTTGCTACGATAGTAGACGCCTGTTGTCAAAAAACTACATCAGAGTCTGGTGATGATGATACAGTGCCTATTTATAAATTTCTTTGTATTCCAGCATCAAACGTTTCGAAATTACCCGCAAACAGCCCTTTAAAACTTGACGTTGCGTGCCAATATGAAGAAATGTTAAAAAGCGAAGAATGCAAAGACATAAAAATGAGAAAACTAAATGAAACATACAACAAACGTATTGGAGAACTGAATTCTTTACCTTTTCGATCCGATTCTTTAAAAATGCGAAGAAGAAAATCATCCATAGAAGCCGATTTGAGAAAAATTGATGTACAGTTGAAAATGTTGTGATCCAAAATTGTATCTATTGTCTTTTTTTGCCATCAAAAATATTTCATACTATTTTAGTTTATTTTTTTAAATTTGTTAAAATCTACGTTCTACGTACAAGTAAAAAAAAGCGAATAAAGCCAATTTTGTTGCACAGGGTGTTCCAAATTGATACCTACATAGCAAAAACTAGAGATAAAAGAGTAGTGAAGATCTCACGACTTGTTTTTGCTAAAGGAATCAAATCTTCAATAGTTTCATTTTTATTTTCGATTATTTGAAACTGACGAAAATTACAAGTTTATCTAATTTTTTTATTAAGAAAAATATTAAGAAAATTTAAAGGAACTTTTGATAGATTTATTATGGAAGAGTTCAGTGACGTACAAAATATTTTAGGGAGTCTTATTAAGAAAATATAAAAATTGTGAACGATAATACCAAGGAACTTTTATTTACTTGTATAAGTATAGATAATGTTTTTGAGTAAGGTAATTATATTTTACCACTGATTAAAGGAAATGAAAATTCGTTATATTGAAATGGAACAAAGTGAAATAATGTCATAGGTATAGCGAACAGACTATACTTAATAATAATACGGTTCTTTTTAAAATATCTTTTTCATATGTTTCATGTAAAGACTCACAAAAAAATTAAATCCTGGAACTTCTTTAAATTGAAGAAACGCCTAAAAGAATATTTGTACAATTAACAATGGTCACAAGAAAAGATAAACATTTATATCTAGATTAGGCAGAAACAAATTTAAATTCTACAAAATTATTATTATTAAAAAGTCACTTTTATAGGTGAGTCCTTGTTGACTTCTCATGGCATTTAACCTGTTAAAATATTTTGTACACTATTTGCCATGTTATCAAAATACCTTAACCTAACCGGAACACAATATATTCTTAACCCAACAAAATGTTTTTATACCATACAAATAAGGTATTCACAAACACAAAGTAACATTCGGTGCTTCCCCAGAGCTGAGAGTTTAAATTTTCTCGATACACGCAAATTATGGATCCTGTAGCTCCTGCAGACAAGTCGCCACTGGTAAAATTAAGCCCAGTTTTGGAATTGGCCTAGTACATACATCCAACTACTTTTTTGAATTATTATTTTTTTATATTTATAATTAGATTTCAAGTTCCCATAATACTCCAATTAAATAGACCTTTAAATCAAAATTTTGGAGGAAATACAGGAATTTTTGATATAAGTCACTTAAGAGTATTTGAAAACGATATGTAAAAAAAATTGTTTTTCAGGCCCCGGCAAATGTCGAAAAACAAGAAAATCAAGTGTTTTTTTAAGGTTATTTAAAAACGGTAGGTGCTATAAAAAAAGTTCTTAATAAAAATTGTAAAGCATAAAGTTTTACATAAAAATTATATTTAGCATTTTTTGAAATTATTGAAACTAACTGAGATAGGGTGTTTAGAAGTTAAGAGGAGATATATATGAGCTGAAAATTCAATGGTTTTTATTTTATTTTTATTATTTACTTAGAAAAATATGAAACTTTCTTTTCAGAAAAACAATTTTTTCATTTGTTTTGTTTTTGAGTTTATAATATGAATAGGACCGATAAGTTCCTACAGACATTTTTCTGAATCCGCCCCTGTAAGAGTACCAATAGATTTACGACTTCACAGACTCTCAGTGTCCACTTAACTTTCTGTATTTAGACAAGTTGCCGAAGTAGTGCCATATTAACAGTTTCTGTCAATAAAAAGAAACGACCTTATCCTAATTTTTTTGAAGGCAAATATTTAATGAGGAAAGAATTTTTTTAGTCAATAATTTTGAACTATTTGCCTCTTTTGAAAACTATTTCTAGAATCACAAATATAAAAAAAAATATATATCTCATTTTTTTATTTAAATATTTTCTAAAGCAAATTTATTTCTCTTTAGATTTAGATTCTATATTTAGGTTTATAGGTATACACTTGGAGTTTTGTTTGTAAATAAGAAATTACGTGCATTCACTAGCGATCGATGCACCTGATACTTATTAGCTCATTACCATATTCTTGAATTAATTTGTGGAGAGTTATGAGAACGCTACGTTGTCGAGAAAGATTTCATAATATTCAAGTTCAATGTTTTTAAAAGAAAATAATTGTTAATAATGAAATGATGCATAGAGTATGTTCAGTATCACACAATAACGCCAGAAAATGGTAATAAACAAAATGAATATGGCAATCATATTGTTTTTAAGGAAATAATGTATTTGGCACTGTTTTTTTTTTCGTGATAATATGTGATTTACATTAAATTCGAGGCAGTTATGCCGTGCAAGTGAATGGTTTTCTTGGCAATAAATAGCTTAACTCCAGTTATTGTTGGTGCTTTGTCACAAATATTTAGATAATAATATGTAAATTGTTGATAAATGTTTCTTGATTCTTGTGTTATATAAATGAATGGAGATTACAATTTGAATGGTTTTTATAAGTATATACGAGTATTACAAGTTCAAGCAGGATATACAAAGCATAGAGGATAAGTATTTTAAATTATTTGAATAGAGATCGATATAAATCTCTTAGAGGAGCAACACCTAGACATCTCATGATCCTCTTTGGAGTTATAAGTAAGTACTTTGACAGCTCATGATGACCAGCCCATACACAAATAACGTAGGTACAATAATCTTGAGTGAATATCAGCATTATTAACAAGTTTAAGATTTCTAAGTTAAAAAAACTTTAAGTTTAATAAAGATGACAGATTTTCGCAATGAGCTTTCATCATTAAAACGTAGGCTGTTTTTAAGTTCCAAGTTGGAAGTAACAAATTTCTTCGTTAATTATTTTCATTGATGCTATACTATTATACTTATAGATATTACATCAGTATTAGTAGATTCCAATTCTACTTCGATAGCAAATATGTAAAAAAGTAAGATAGAAAACTATAAAGAGCTAATTATATACAATTTTTCATATTGAACGGACTAAAAACTATATTTAAATTGTTATTTTAAAATACCACTGCTTCTGTTAATTATATCATCATATTAAAAAAAAACGAATTAAGATGAAATCTCATTAGTCCTGCGAAATAAAATGAGTACTTTAATAGGCAGGCATAACCTGTAGGTAGAAAAATGCTGGGCACATAAAAGAAACGTATTCGTGCAGGTATGCAAAAAATAACCTGCATTCTTTTTAACATGAATGAATGGGTTCAAACAAAGATGAATATAAAAAAACTGGACGCGTCAAATTTCATTCCATTTTATTACCCACTGGATGTTAAATATGTATTGTGTTGAATTTCAACATACAATATATCTGAAAGAAATAATTTTTTCCCTAATTGAAATATTTGCTTTTTTTGACGATATAATTTGCATAAAAAATACCAAGAAGTTTCATATTTAAATAATTCTATAAAATTTTTCACTTCGCTAATGATGTACGATAATAATAGTAAGTGAAACAAATTAAAAATGTGATTTTTTTTAAATAAATATTATAACAAAAGGGCTTCGTACAAATGGGAAACCAGCCGAGGTCGGTGAAGTTGACCACATATTTTCGAAAACCACTGTTATCCGAGAATGCACTATAATTATTACTTTTATTGCACCACCTTCCTTGAGAAACTAAAGCTATTTATATGTGGGGAAGGGCAAATGAACACTGTCCCCCCCCCCCCCACCCAGTAAACATTTTCATGATTTATTGAAATGCTCCAGTTAGCTTTTATAATGTACTCGTATGCACCATTAATAAAACTTTTTGCACCCCCTCCCTTTAGTAGTATAGATATAGCTGTTTCTTTACCGTGAATTTAGCCCTTAATGATGTTTTCGCAAGAAGAAATATTGCGCCACTGATGCACTTATATTTACCACCAATAAAACGATTTGCACTCCATCTCTTTAATAGTTACACCTTCTTTACAGTGAAGTTAACCCGTCCCAATGATATTTGCGTAAAAAAACTGTTAAGCTGGTCTGGTGGGAAAGATTCGTCAACACTGAGTAATTAGGTTCGCAGGATAAATACCTACCTATGATACTTATCGTATTAATCTGTAAGTGGTACTGACTATGCATAATCTATTATAACTATATTTATCCCAATTACCAAATAATGGTTAAAATAAATGACCTACTAAGAAAAAAAATTCGCAGTTTTATATCATCTATGTTTTAAGTTAGGTACGTTATATAACAAGGCTTTGTTACAGCTTCTTTTTATTCATAGTTACGTAAAATGTTCTCAAATATAACAAAATTACGGTTACGTTTATAGATAAACTTTTCTGTTTTGAAACTAAAACATATTAGATTCCTGTTTGAAATGTTTTTATTATAGATTAACTCAAATAATAAATCTTGTTACTTGAGTTACATTCTTTTTTCGAAATTAAAACATATTAGTTACGTTTTTGAAATGTTTATATTTCTAATTTATTATCGTTGTATTTGTTACTAAGTAACGTTTTTGTTTCGAAGAAACTACATGTATTAAAACTTGGTTAGGTTTTGAGATGATTTGAATACAGAATCGTAACTAGAATGAAGATATATATACAAGGTGTTTGTAAATAAGTTCGAAATATTTTAGGGGGTGGTTGCCGAAGTTATTTTGTTGAATATTAAAACGGGAAAGTTAGTGGCGCACCAATTTTTTAATAAAAAAAGTTGTAGCATCCTCGCACGAACGCCAATGATAAAAATATTCGGCTACCCCAAAAAATGCTCATTTATTACTTCAAAGCGTCAATACCTATAAAACTCTTTGAAATAATTAATAAAAATATTTTGAGTTACGTTTGTAGGAACTTTTTTTAATAATATAACTTCGGCAACCGCCTCCTAGGGGTAAGATTCCCCACTCGACCATTCAATGTTGGGTTCTAATTACCAGTGCTGTTCCTAAAGTGGCGATGGGAAATAGTAACAAAGCCTACACAAAATACACATAATTGAGAATTTAAACACAAACTTGAAACTGGCACATTAGGTATTGTACACCTAGGCCATAAATCGAAAAAAAAACACCCCCTAATTTTTTGCACTTATTTACAAACAACGTGTATAATATAATAATAATATCGTTTTTATTATTTCAAATCAAAAGTTCACATATATATTCGTACAATAGAAATAAATTAACATTTTGCATTCCTACGAATGCAAAAAATGTTCTTCCACTTAACCCTAAACAAGGAAAAAAAATATTTTAATTAATGAAATATTTAATATTTAACCGGTAGAGTATCTGTTAAGAGTGCAACAAACAAATTGGTCTGTAACTTTGATGTGTTATGTGGTTCTCAGATTTAACAAGTGTGTTTTATACATTGTTTTCAGTTTTGAAACATTTAAATGCCTAAATTTTTGAGGGACAGAGTTATATATGTGAGCAACTTGATATACAAAGGAACGCCTAAACATCTCTGAATTGAATTTTGGCGCACCATAATCGTATTTTTATAAAAATTATGGGGATTTATATAAAAAAAAAAAAATCAAAAAAAAATTAAAATTTAGCGTTCTCTATTTTTTACTCTTCACAGTTTCACAAACCCACCCTTTTTTTTAAATTAATTGGCTTTATCCCTTTATAGATTTTAATTTTTCCTGATGATTTCAAGGTAATATCGTTTTCTGTTCCTGAGTTAGGAATTTTTTAAATATGTCAACATCCCCCCCCTTAACCCCCTGGATTTTTATTCAGAATCATTATGCTTCATTCCTTATAGAGCTTGATTTTTCCCTAAGATTTTGAGTTGATATCGTTTTTCGTTTCGAAGTTGGATTTTTTTTTAATATTTCAACCCTCCATTTTTATTCAGTTTTTTTATTAGAATCAATATGATTCATCCCTTATAGAGCTTGATTTTTCCTGAAAATTTAGAGTTGATATCGTTTTTGTTTCTTTTGATTTTTTTAATATTTCAAACATCCCCTATCCCCCAATTTTTATTTAGATATTTTTTCAGAATATGATTCATCCCTTATAGAGCTTGAATTTTCCTGGACATTTCAAGTTGATATCCATTTTCGTTTTTGATTTTTTTTTAAATTTCAACCCCTTTCACCTCCAAATTTTTAATCCGATTTTTTTCAAAACCAATAGGCTTTGTCCCCGTATAGAACTTGATTGTCACTGGAAATTTTAAATTAATATTGCATTTCTTTTCTGAATTATGAATTAACTCCCTTTAGCCCCATATTTTTAATCAGATTTTTCAAAATCAATAAGCTTCGTCCCCTTATAGAGCTTGATTTTTTTCTAAAGATTTTTAGTTTTTGACTGATTGAAGGATTAATAACAATGTCTTACTATTTTTACCAATTTTTAACAATATCCGTGCGTTGATTTTTCAGGCATAGACAGTGTTTCCCTGCTGGACAGTCTGTATATACTGAATTCGTACATAAATACGTAGAATACTCGTTTCAAATAGGTATTAGATCAAATTTTATGCTTCGAATAAATCCAAAAACCACAAAAACGAAATTTTTATTTTTTTGCACTCTCTAGAATGCTCTTCAAATAAAAATATATACCTTAAGTAATTGTTTTTACAAAAAAAAATGTTAATATTCGAATGAGGAGATATTGTGGAATATTAAATTTATTTAGAAAATTTACCTCTGTTATCATTCCTTCAATTTTTTCCATATTATACTTCCAACAAAATAAAATTAATAAATTAATTTTGCGTTATTATTTGAATTACTAATCAAATTAGCTTTCAAATGAAGTGTCACACTTTATAAGATGCAACTGTATTTTTTTCAGTAGAGGGTGCAAAAATCAAAAGGAACGCAATCAACAGTTGAATTCCTCGTTAAATTATTTTTAAATGCGACTCCTCTTGCTACTTGAATGAAGGTATGATAGCAGGGATGAGAGGATGACTTTTTCAGAAAACCTAAATATACCTTCGGATATTAATTGATTTTTTGCTTTTTTTATAAAAATCAGTCATTTACTTTACTGGATACTTTTTTCTGAAGGGCACTTCTGTCTGTCTTCAGGTAAATTCATCGATCTAAATATTCATGTATCATCATCATTAATTTTAATCAATATAATTACGAATTGATATTTTTAAAAAATCTGTAGGTTCTACCTATTTAAATGAAGTAACCAAACATTTTTTTTATATTAATTTTTAAATTATTTTTATCATTTTAAATTAACGAACAACTTACATTATACGTCGCCTGCTAAAAATCTCCATCCCTTTAAAGGACGCTGTCTGCGTAAAGATAACACTCACTATACACCGCGAGTTCGGTACGTACCGCGGAGGAACTGAAACCAACTGAAACTGAAAACCGACTGAAACTCCCGAGAGTCCAAGAACAAGAATTGAAAGAGCGAAAAGCGCGGCTTAAAAGCTCCGGCGGACGAGGATCGCCGGTTCCGTCTTACCGTCCATCGAGAGAACGATTAGAATGAAACCAAAAACCCGTACTTGACCAGACCAACAACAGCATCACTAGAAGATTCTTCTTTTTTCTTCCATAGAGTAATGTCGGCGACTAGAATTCTCCGCCTACGCACAAAAAAAAATTAAGGGCCTATATACCCACATACTGCCACTTCCAACCTACATATACTCGTATGATACAGTATGATGACTCTAGCTAATCGTAGTTAAGGTAGGTATAAGATTATTGGGATTAATTATATTAATTAATTATAATAGAAATTTCCATAGTCCTGATTAATGGTCATAGTTTCTCTGCCAGGCTCAATACTGCTAAGAATTTTGAAAATTTCTACTGGTTACGTCAATTAAATCTTGTTAAAATCCATTACAGTATAGCAAACTCACTGTAATATCATAGCATCAGATTTATACATAAACTGTAATAGTAACAGACTCACTAAGTAAGTGCTTTCCATGGAATCAAACAAATATATCCATAAAGCACGATGCTTCAACAAAAGCAAGAAAAAAATACAAATTCTTCAAGGTCTGAACAAAAATGTAGAATTTATTTGGGCGCCTTCCAATGTAATGAGAAAGTCGTCAAAATTGCTATAGATGCAACAAAAAATAACAATATAAACATGCTTCCAGAAATTCCACACACAGACCACAAATCCAAAAACAAAGAACACATAAACCAACAATGGCAAACAATATGGGATACACAAGACACAAAATTACAAGAAATAAAACCAATACCGCATTCACTACTATATAGAGATATTCCACCTGGCAGAAGAGATCAAAGTGTTATCAGCAAACTTTGGTTAGGAGACACAAAAATCGCACCCCAACATATATTTAGAAAAGAAGAACCTCCGACTTGTGACCAGTACCCTAAACCTGTGACAGTGAAATATTTATTGAGTGCCAAAAATACCAAATAGGAAGAACACTTCTTCAATTACCCCAAAACATGAATGATCTATTAACCAAAGGCTTTTCAAAAACAATTAATTTTCTAAAAAAAAATTCTTTATTAGAGTATTGTTATTAGTCATTACTGACTAACCTACAATTTTAATCTAAAAATCTTACAAACTAATTACTTATCTAAGAAGTCCCCATTGGGCTGTCTTAATTGTTTCTATAGGAAAGCATCACAAGTTGGCGTGACGATTTATTACACTGTTTTACACCAACACTAACATTAACGTTCACTGCACTAGCTCAACTGGCTTCTTCCTTTTGAGCCTTCTGTTGAGTGTAGAGTTGTCCAGTAATTGTAACGCTTCTTCGTTGACGTGGGAGTGGAGTCGACCCTCATGTTTCGGAGCAAACCTCTTTATTTCTTCTTCGATTTTTCGCATCTTCAGGTCTCTCCCATAGCTGTATGTCATAAATCCAGATTGGTTTTAGGATTTGTTTATAAATTAGCAATTTGTTGTGCACTGACAATTTGTATTTTCTTTCTAGGAGCCAATACATTTTTTTGAATTTATTTTAACAGATTGTTGTTGAGGGATATCGCTGGTGTATAATAAGTAAAGAACCGGTCCTAGCACACTGCCTTGTGGGACACCTGCTTTAATTTCTTTCATTTCAGAGTATGCCTCTTGCTTTACTCTAAACATTCTTCCTGTTAAATATGATTATAAAATGTCGACATATTGTCTAGGAAGCATTTTTTCAAGTTTCTGTATTAGGCCAGCGTGCCAAACCTTGTCAAATGCTTGGGCTACGTCAAGAAATATAGCTGATCATATATATTTTTCTTCGTAAGCTTTTTCGATGATATCGGCTATCTTGTGTACTTGATCTATTGTTTCTAAAACCAAATTGGTGCGAAGGGATCAGATTTTTATTTTCAATTATTGGTTTTAGTAGTTTTAGTAATATTTTTTTAAATAACTTAGATATTATCGGTAACAATGATATAGGTCTATATGATGACACTTCATTCAGAGGTTTTCCTGGCTTAGGAATTAGGATAACTTCAGCCATTTTCCACGCATCAGGTATATAGTTAAGGCGAATTGCTGCATTTATGAGGTATGTCAATTTAACAATAGCCTTTCCGTGGTAGTTTCTTTAATATTTCTCCAGTAATAAGGTCATATCCTGGGGCTTTCTGTGAGTTGATGTTTGTCTGAATTTCTTTCGTTACTTCATTAGGAGTAACTAGCTTAATTTCAAATTGTTCCATATTACGGATGGTCTCATTAGGAGTGTCTTGATTTTCATCTAATTGGAACGTCTTTTGTAGGTGGTCAGCGAAAATATCAGCTTTTTGTTGATTGTCTTTTGTCCATTTGTTATCTGCTATTCTGATAGGAGGACAGTGTTTACACGAATTTTTCATCTTTTTAGTTGCCTTCCAGAGTGAATAATCAGTTTATCATCTGTTAGCCCTACTAGGTATCTGTTGAAGGATTCTTCTTTGTGATTTAGGATTTCTCTTCTCAGTCTTTGGGTAGCCCTATTTAATATATTTTTTTCTTTTGGTGATCTTGTCATCTGCCATTTCTTTCTTAGTTTTATTTTTTCTGCTACTAGTTCTCTTATCTCGACAGGATAGTTTTTTCCAGCTGTTAATCTTCTTAATTTTGGTGTGTTCCTCCATACAGCACGAGTCGAACATGAGCTTTAGTGCCTATACTGCACCGTTAATCTCATTTTGTTTATTTTCTAAATAATGTTTTTGGGAACATGGCCTCCAAGATCCCCTTAATTTTAACCCCGTAGATTTTTTTTTTATATAAAATTTCTTAGAGTTATTCGATATTCTTATTCGTTACAATATATTTATTGTTCGTTGATGTACAATTTGAACGTAATAAACATTTCTGATAAATACATATAAATTTATGTTTAATTTGTTTAAGTTTACAAAAATGTGCAGGATGATTTTTGTTTAAAAATTAAAAATTTATAACTGAACTAATCCGGACCTGGAAATTGGACAAAATGATCTTAACGGTGCAGTATAGGCACTAAAGACCTATGTTCGACTCGTTTTAGTTTAAATGTATACAATTAACAATATTTTCTTTAAGTTATAACTTTATTATGTAACCCCTTAAGCTGATTTTTTAATTTTTGTCCGAAATCGAAACCTAATAAAAAAAATTAACGAAAATGTGACAAAAATTCACATACACAGTTTTGATTGCCTATCTATATACTTTAAAAATCTCTTATTATAATTTAAAAAAATATTATACAGGGCGAACTTTTTGATATGAATCGTCGAGATTCATTTTTTTAAGCCTATCCTGGAATTTTTTACTTTTGAGGACATGAATTAAATTCTAAATAATAGTGTAAAGTTTCATCAAAAAGAGAAATCTAGTAATCCTTTTGATGTTACAACTATATAGATTTTTGACAGAATTCACAAAACAAAGGGGTGTTGTCACTTTTTAATGCACATGCACATGATTTACCTCCTAAGGGGTAAAAATATGATAAAAATATGATAAAAATATGATACATATGATAAAAATCTGTAAGGTTCCTTATGACTAACCCTGTATAGTTCTTGCCATTCTATATTGTACTCTTCACAGTTTAATAAACATCCTTAACCTCCCCTATTTTAATTCAGATTCTTTTCCAGAATCAAAAGATTTCATCCCCTTATAGAGCTTGATTTTTTACTAAAAATTTCATGTTGATATTGCTTTTTGTTTTTGATTTAGGATTTTTTTTAAATTTCAACCGTCTTAACCTCCCCATTTTTAATTAGTCTCAAAACATTAGTCTTTGTTCCTCATAGAGCTTGCATTGTCCTGAAAATATCAAGTTTTTTTTTAAATTTAAACCTTCAACCACCCATTTTTATTTAGTTTTTCTTTTTTAATCAATAGACTTCGTCCCCTTGTTGAGCTTGATTATTTTTAATAATTTCAAGTTGATACTGTTCGTCCTTTTTTATTTATGATTTGTTTCTAAATTTCAACCCATTCTAGCCCTCATTTTTAATCCTTTATAGAGTTTGAGTTTTTCTAAAAATTTCAAGTTGATATCATTTTTCGTTTTTGATTTATGATTTTTTTTTTAAATTTCAACCCATTTTAACCTCCATTTTTAATCCGATTTTTTTTTTAAAAGAACAGGCTTTGTTCCCGTATAGAACTTGATTTTCCAGAAAATTTCGAGTTGATATGGTTTTTCGGTTGTGATTTATAATTGTGATTTTTCTAATTTCAATTACCCTTAACCCCACCATTTTTATTCAAATTTTTATTTCAAAATCAATAGGCTTCGTCTAATATATATATTTTGATTTTTTCTGAAAATTTCAAGTTGATACCGTTTTCTTTTTATTTTATGATTTGGTTTTAAATTTCAACCCCCTCTCAATTTAGATTTGTTTCAAAATCAATAAGCTTCGTCTCTTTATAGGGCTTGAGTTTTCTTCAAAATTTCAAGTTATCATTTTTCGTTTTTAATTTATGATTTTTTTTTTAATTTCAACCCATTTTAGCCCATTTTTAATCCAATTTTTTTCAAAATCAACCTTTGTCCCCGTATAGAAAACTTGATTTTGTCTGAAATTTTCAAAATAATATCGGTTTTCATTTGTGATTTTTTTAATATTTCAAACCCCCTTTACTCTCCATTTTTATTCAGATTTTTATTTTAAAATCAATAGGCTTTGTCCCCTCATACAGCTTGATTTTTCCTAAAAATGTCAAGTAGATATTATTTTTCGTTTTTGACTTATCGTGCAAACAAAGAAATGGTGATATCGGACGGACAGACGAACATTTTTAAAAGTTGTAGGATTTTGGTACAAAAATTTTTAAAATTAGATTACTATTAAAAATTTTGCTTTCTTTTCTTCAAAGTAAACTTAAAATACCTAATCTTAACATAACAACTCTTCTTCGGTACAATTTATTTTAAAAAATGCCAATTAAGAGACTGTGTACTATGATTGGTCTTAAATAGCTAAAATTGTTGAAAAAAATAATAAAAAATAAATTAAATTTTTTTTTGAAAAATATTACAATTTGGCTTCAGACAAAAAAATGTCAACTCAGGATGTATAAGTGTATAAAAAATAATTGGACAAAAATAAACCATGAATTGGAGTCCAAAAGTTTTATTTTCACATAGTTACAGTTTTAATTAATATTTTTATACATATTTTGGGGGTGAGATATGCGACTAGGTATACAATTTTTTTTTTTTTTTTTCATCGAATACCGACGTAATATGCATTCTGCTCAAATAGGCGAATTAGTACACCTATTTATAACATTCGTGTACAGTGAAATCACGGAGGCATAATATTAGCAAGGACAGAATGGGATATTTTAGAATTTTTGTGCTTCCATCTTTTCTTGGCTTTTCATTTTTCTATAATTGAGTTAAGAATTTTTTTTTTGATAGCTTATTCGTGGATAAAAGGCATTTAAAACACCTGCTCTATTTTAAATCGCATAATATTAATTAAAAAAATCTGATGTGTCCAACACATGACTTTCCTATCTAGTTATTACAGGCTTTTTCCAATTTCAAAATCTAGATTTCTATTGATCATATTTTCAGTTTCATAATGAAAACCAGTGTTATAATGAAACTGAAAATTAGCATTTAATTAACAACTTATAGTATAGGAGTAGAAAAAATAATAAATAAAACAAGCAGTTCAGTTGTTCCTTACTTAAAAGTAGTAAATTTTTAACTGTTCCTCAAAGGAACCACCCACACATTTCATTCCCAAGTTAGAAATAAAATTGTTTTTATAAGATAATCGGGACACTATTTTCGGTCTATCTATGTACTTTCCGAGAAATATAACCACTTTTAGTTTTCATAAGAATGTTTTCTATCTGACTTAATCATATTCTTCATCTGGTGTTTTATTCAACAAACCTTTTTTCTAAGAAACGCCATCCTACGCCCTATTAGAAAAGGAACATCTGACGAGAACATG